TTTTTAGGCAGGGTTTTGCTACACAGTGCAGGCCTTGAACTCACTGTGTAGCCCAGCCTGGCTGCAAACTTGCAGTGGTCCTCCTGCCTCAGTCTCTATAATATAGAGTTACAGGCATGCACCACCACACCTCAATATTACGTCTTTTGGATTTCCATAGGTTTTGTATTTTCCTATTGTAGACCTATGAATTAAGGCAGGTAGTGAAACTTTGGTTGGAATAAGAGATGACCTCTAAACAATTCTAATTCTTGAACAGTAATAGTGTGAACATAAATGTTAACTTATGCACTTGAGTACTACACTGCTTATGTACTCTTTCCCAAGGAAAGGTTTTATGGGGTGTTAGTAATACTGCAGAAATAATTCCAAAAATGAAAGGGGAAGAAAAGAACATGGACTTTTTCTTCTATCCCTTCTTCCCTCTGCTCTCCCCCTTCCCTTTCCCTTTCTTGCCTTTCTATTGGAGCTTTACTCGCAGTTACATTTGTGAGCTGTCCAAAAAAATTCTTTTAGAAAAAGGTAAATTCTTTCCTCATGAAGCTAAATGCTGATCAGTTAGAGTGTTTAATAGCAGGAAACATTTCTTGTGCTTCAGGATGGATTTTTCCCCATGTTGGCAGAGATGGGCATCCTGCTTAGAATATTAAGAACATCGAAGGAAGGTAAATTAAGTCTAAAAAGGAACTTGGCAGAATGTGAGTCATTTCTTGAGCCTGTTCTACTAGAGTATAATTTAGAGGTTGGCAATGATACTGCTATTTTATTTATTAGTTTACTGTACTTTCTGAGTTATGTAGTTACAAACAGAAAAATTGATTTTTTTACACCCTTCTTTATCCATTTGTTTTTCTTTTGATGTCTTCTGTTTGGTATTTCTGATTTCAATATTATATTACCATTTTACTATAATAACAGACTATGCAAGAAGAAATTAGAAATGATAATTAGTTTTATAGCTCCTTTAATACAGAAAATAACTAGGCCTTGGTTTTATAATGTTTTCTATTATGACATTAGATAACTTTCTGATTTGAGCATTTCACTGTGATACAGGATTATGTTTTGGAGGAATTTGGGCCAACACAGGAAGCATTCAAAAGATTTATTCTAAAGATAAAATCTTATATTCCTAGTCTGGTTTTAAAGATTCTTCTAGATTTGTGGCTATTTTATAAACATTTGAGAGGCTTATAGTTTTCCCTTTTGTAATTTTGTACAGGTTATAGTTAATTAAAATAAATTTCAGGGCCAGGGAGATAGGTCAGTAGTGCTGGCAAGCACAAGGGCCTGAGTTCAATCTCCGATTCCACCGAAAAAATAAAATAATAAATAAATTTCAGAGGTATTATTAATTATACTAATTTTAATTAATTGATTTTGCTACTGGGAATTAAACTCAGGACCTCACTGTGCCACTGAGCTATACCCCTGGCCCAATTATACCGATTTTAAAACACCTTGTATAAGCTTTTGACCAAAGATTACCTACTACCTGTGTGGGAAAAAGATACAAGAATAAGCATCTGTTTGGAGAAAAATGATTAAGAATCAAATTCATAGAATTACCAATGACTTTGTTTTACATATTTTCAGGGTTAGCATGTAAATTAGTTCCAGAGTGACTAAAATCATTTCATTAAATAACATGTAATTTAATATAATCCTAATGTAATAGTATATAATTAGGCTTGGGTACTGTGGAAACAGCAAATTGCTTTCAAGATATCTAGCCTCAAGAGATTTTGCTGAAGCAGATACTAAGCTTTCTATTAGTTGTTCATAATATTAAGATTGGAAAGCTGGTTTGATTAGTGGACTTGAAAATAGACACTACCATTTTTATGGAATGTCTGTCAAGAATTCTGTATTAATTGAATTGTAAGCCCTTTCCATTAGGTTAGGTATAGTCATTAATTTCCTTCTGTCTTGGTAGGTAAACTGAAAGATTATAGCAAATATGGAGTCTTTCATTAATTCCTATAAACTTTATTTTTAAAAATTATTTACTTATTTATTTGATACAGGGTCTCACTATGCAATTCACACTTATACTGATCCTCTTGTCTCAGCCTCCTCAGTTCTGGGATTACTGGCGTGAACCACCATGCCTAATTTCTGGGCTGACGTGGCATAAGGTACTGGGGATCAAACTCAGTCCTTGCACTTTCCAGGCAGATGCTTAGACTGCTCAGCTATCTCCCTAGCCCTTGTTTATTTATATTTTGAGACAGGGTTTTGCTATGTTGTTCAGGCAGGCCTTGAATTCACAGTGATCCTCCTGTGTGCTGGGATTACAGATGAGCACCACCACACCCAGTTCATTCTCACATACATTAAGCTGCTTGGAGGGCCAGAGAGATAATCTGCTCAGCCAGTGGTCTGAGTGCCTGCCTGGCAAGCACAAGGATCTAGGTTTGAGCCCTGGTATTGCATACCATGCTGCCTGTTCCAAGCCAGACACCAAAACTGGGCATGGTGGCGCATGCCTGTAATTCCAATGTTGGGAAGGCTTGAGACAGGAGGATCACTAGGAGTCTGAGCTGTGTAATGAGACCCTGTACCAAATAAAAAGCAAACAGCAGCAACAACAAAAATAAACTGCTTGGGAAATATTATTGTGCTAAGCATCGGAGGAATGCAAAGATGAGTAAAGCACAGTGTATTTTATTTTTATTTTTTAAATGTGTTTAGTACACTGTCTACAGGGTCTCACTACGCAGATCAGACTCCTAGTGATCCTCCTGTTTTCAGCCTTCCAAGCGCTGGGATTACCAGCCCAGTCTCATTTGCAGTCTCAGCATGCCCTGGGGGCAGGGCCACCATGGCACACCAGGATCGGACACAGTATATTTTATAAAGAGTTTATAGTTTACTAGGGAAGATGAATATGCATGTAAGTGATAGGTAGGTAAACTGAAGAAGAATTGAAAGCAATGGCCACTAACTGGACTGTTACATATACATTTATCTGTCTGTTACTTTGTCATAAAGGTCTGCTTTATGAAGGTTTGGCATTTAGCAAACTTTTATTCATAATGTTCTGAGAGGGAAGTTGGGTAACCTTGGTTCTTTTCAAAAATAATGTGTTCAGATGAAAATAAACCATGGGATTACAAAAAAAAAAAAAAAAAAGAATTGAAAGCAAAATAGAAAAACATTATGAGTGAGTTGTAATTAATTCTATTTTCTAGATTATAACAAAGTAAGATTTCCACAAGCAAACTATGTAGTTCTACATAGGGAGAATAGTATTAAGACATGTGTTGAGTTCAAGGATACCAAAGTCATAAGAAAGCATGAGAGATACAAGATAATAAAAGGGGACCAAATTGTCAAGAATGCTCTACTAATACATTTGAATTTTATTCTGTGGGGATTAAGGACCCAGGGAAAAGTGTGCTAATTTGGAGGTGGGATTATTTATGTATTTTTTATTTTACTGTATTTTTTTGGATGAAATTTTTTTTCCAGTACTGGGGATTGAACTCAGGACTTTGCACTTGCCAGGCAGGTGCTTATTCTACTGAGCTGTCTCCCCTGCCCTGAATTGTTTCTTAGAGAAGTTTTTTTTTTTTTTTTTTTTTTTTTTTTTATTTTTGGTGCTGGAAACTTAACCCAGGGCTTCCAGCTTGTTAGGCAAGTGTTCTACCACCAAGCCAAATCCCAAGGCCTGTGTATATATTTTTGGTAGTGAGAATCTGTGGAAATTGTGATCTGTAGGAAGTTCTTTCTGGTATTGGTTTTGGGGGGATGTGTTGCCTTCAGAAAGATAATGGCTTATTTTTCATGTCAAAGGTATGCGCTCCATTGATCTGTTTTTCTTTCTGGATAGCTGATCTAAGATGCTTGATTTAAAATCATTCCTTGAGGGGCCAGGGAGATGGCTCAGTGCAATAAGTGCCTCCCTGGCAAGTGCAAGCGTCTGAGTTCAATCCCTGGTTCTGAAAAAAAAAAAAAAAAAAATCATTCCTTGAACTCTAGATCTTTTCCTTTGTTTTAGGAAAACATGTTTTTACCTTGTACTTTATCAACTAAGCTAATTTATGAGCTTACAATATTTTTTTAAAAAATTTGACATTGTTAGGTTTTGAAGCAGAAATGGAGGGAGGAGCCTTTATTAACTCTGAAGACACAGAGAGGAGCGTGAGACTGTGGACTTCTGCTAAAGGCAAAGTTTGAGGGGCAGCTTTGGTAACACACAAGGAGCTGATTGGAGGCTCCCTTGTGTGGGCGGGAAAGGTGAACCGAAGCTGTGTCCGGCATTGGAATGGGGAAGGAGGAGGAAGTGGTCGCTGGGAAGATAAGCTCTTGTTTTGGGGATTCAGCCATGTTGAATCTGGACCATGATACTTTAGCAGTCTGTACTCAGCTGCAACCTGTCAAATATATTTGCAGTACATGATTGTTATGGTTTGTGTCTAGTTTTCCCTCCAAAGTCTCATGCAGTCATGGGCAGCTTCTGGAGTTTCTGATTGATTCATGATCGAGTGCTGGGATTATGGGTGTGAGTGCACTGAGGCAGATACTCTGCATTACAATGTAAGGAGGGGAGAGAGGCTAGCTAGCTGCCTGAGCTGCTGCTTCTGCTTTTGCTCTCTTCACTCTTTGCCATCGCACCATCAACAGCTGCTCTGTGCTGTGTGCCACTCCGGCTTGGAGCCAGCCAAGTATAGACTGAAACCTCTACTAACTATGAGCTAAAAAATAAACCTTTCCTTACTTCTTTTTTTTTTTTTGCGGAACCGGGGATTGAACTCAGGCCCTTGCACTTGCCAGGGAAGTGCTTATTCCACTGAGCCATCTCCCCGGCCCCTCCTTACTTCATTTTGGGTGTTGAGTATTTGTCCCAGCAATGAGAAAATAGTAACTGAGATAATGATAATTACATTCACCATGAGGAGTTGGTACCTGTACATACATAACACATTTTCTTTTTCATGTCCTTTCCCTCCCTTCACTCCATCTCCTGGTCTCCTTCCCTTTCATAAAGGATGTGAGGTTTTATGTTTGATGGGATAATCTTGTGGCTTTGTTTTGTTCTGTTCTGTCTTTTTTGAGATAGCATCTCACTATGCAGTTCAGGCTGGCCTTGAACTTTGTAGTCCAGGCTGGTCTCAAACTCACAGTGATCCTCCTGTCTCAGCCTCCCAAGTTCAGGGATTACAGGTGTGTGCCACCATGCCCAATTTCAATGGCTGGTGCGGCATGCAGCCATTAAATCTGGGTCCTTGCACTTGGCAGGCTCTTAGACTGTCTCCCCAGCCCTTCGTTTTATTTTTTGAGACAGGGTTTTTGCTCTGTAATTCAGGCTGGCCTTGAGCTCATGATGTAGTCCTCCTGGCCTCAATCTTAGAGCAGTCTTACTGTCAGTCTCCCAGATGCTGGGGTTAAGGCATGTGGCACCACTCCTGGCTTCCAGAATGTTATATAATTAGAATCATAATGTGTAGCATTATCACGTTAGCTTCTTTCACTTAGTATATTGATCTGATTCCATTGCTGAGACAAACTCCTTAATTTATGCAATTTAAATGAGAAAAAGTTCATATTGGCTTATGGTTTCAGAAGTTTCAAGGGCCTGGGGAGATAGCTCAGTAGAATAAGTGCTTGCCTGGCAAGTGCAAGGTCCTGAGTTCAATCCCCGGTACTGGGGGGCGGGGGTTGGAATAAAGTTTCAGTTTGTCATCAGTGGGCCACAAGGCAAAATTACAGCTCTGGGGAATGGCAGAGGAAAGCTTCTCAAATCATGCCAGCCAGGAAGCAGAGAGCAGAGGAAAAAGCCTGGTGTAGTTTCCAACGTCATGCACCCATGACTCACCTGGTGGGTTTTACTAATCTTTTAGGTATCTCTCAAGTTGACAATCAAGATTAACTGTCATATTTAGTAACCTGATATTATGTGTATTCTGTGGCTTCTTATGGTAGTGATAGTTCATTTATATTTTGCACTGGATAATATTCCAGTGTCTGTATGTACTATAGTTTATCCATTCACGTACTGAGGGACATCTTCGTTGCTCCAATCTTTAGAAATTATGACCACAGCTACTGTAAACATCCATGTACAGGTTTATATGTGGACATAAATTTTCAGTTCACTTGGGTGAATTTCAAGGAAACAAATGGCTAGAACATGGTTAAAGTGTTTAGTTTTTTCTTTTTTGGTCCTGGGAATCAAACTCAGGATCTTGCACTTGCCAGGCAGGTGCTGTGCAGCTGAACTATATCCCCAGCCCTCAAGTGTTTAAAGAAACCGCCAGACTGTTCCAAAGTGGCTGTACCATTTTCTCACTGTTATTCCACATCCTCCCCAACATTTATTATATCAGTATTTAGAATTTGGCCATTTTTTAAAAAGATTAATCTGTCTGTCTGTCTGTCTGTCTGTCTGTCTGTCTGTCTGTCTATCTATCTATCTCAGGGTCTCACTATGTAGCTCAGACTCATAGTGATCCTCCTGTCTCAGTCTCCCCAGTGCTGGGATTACAGGTGTGTGCCACCATGACCAGTTTCGGTGGGCATGGTGTGGAGCTGGCACAGCATGTGGTATTGGGGATTGAATCTAGGTCCTTGTGCTTGTCAGGCAGGTGTTTAGACCACTGAGCTATCTTCCCGGCCTCATTTGGCTATTTTAATAGGTATGTTGATGCTAATTTCTGATTTGGTAACATTTTTTTAAGTAATTTTTATTTATTTCATTATTATAATTATTATTATTTGTGGTACTTGGGATTGAGCTCAGGATCTTGCACTTGCTAGGCAGGCACTTATTCTACTGAGCTATCTCCCTGGCCATGGTAACTTATTTCTTAAGGTCCTAGAGCCTACTCAGTTGTTTGTAGATAGTTTTAATATCTGTCATAGCATATACAGTATATTTACTTAGAATGGAATCTAATTGCAAGTATTAGTCTTGAGTTAATATATATTTGTTTATTTGTTTTTATGTATTTGATACAGGGTCTCACTACGCAGCTCAGATTCATAGTGATCCTCCTGTTTTCAGCCTCCCCCGTGCTGGGATTACAGGGGTACGCCACCATACCTGGTCTCTGACCAGCTTGGCGCTGGGGCGTGGGCCCAGTGAGGCTTGTGGTGCTGGGGATCGAACCCTGGTCCCTGTGCTTGCCTAAGCAGGCACTTAGTCCACTGAGAAATCTTGCTGGTTCTTGTTCATTTTGTTTGTTTATTTTTGATCCCCACATACTAGGGATCAAAATCAAGACCTTCAGCTTGCTAGGCAGGCACTTATGCTGCTGAGCTATCTCCCCAGCTCTACATGTTTATGTTAGCCTGTAGGATTCTTATTGGAGGCCTGAGTTGGAGAGACCTAGCTCTGGGGCCCTAGCAGATCGGATCTGTCCATTTATTCAGTAAAGCTAATTTGCTAGTGGGAAGACTGGGCGTATAATGTTAACCCTATTTCTTGCCGGTGTTGGATACAGCTGAATAAATTTCTTTCCTGCCTTACCACCACTTGTCTCTGTTGATTGGGTTGCGTGGCTGAACCTGGTCTGTTGGGACCTTTTTGATAACAAAGTTATTATTTTTATTTTGTGGGGGGAGGACTATTTAGTAATAATTAAGGTTTGAAAATAGAGTATTCTGTATTCCTTTCCCTTTAATACGTGCTATGGTTTAGATTTAAAATGTCCCCCTTGGGCCGGCCAAAGAGCTCAGTGGATTAAAGTGCCTGCTTAGGCAGAGGCAGGGGCTGGAAGTTCGATTCTAAGCCTGCCGTGCCAGCCCACCCCTGGGGTGCACTGAGATGGTGATTGAGACTGGGTGTGGTGACACATTCCTATAATCCCAGTGCTTGGGAAGCTATAAATAGGAGAATCACAATGAGTTCAATCTATGTAGTGAGACCCTGTAGACCCTGTACTAAAAAAAAAAAAAAAAAAAAAAAAGTTTCCCCAAATTGTCATATGTTTTGTGGAAGGTGATTGGCTCATAAGAGCACTGTACCAGTCAGTAGGTTCATCCATTGAAGAATTAAGGCACTAAATATACTGTTCAAGTGTCAGCACCTGATTGGAGGTGAGTCACTGGAGGCATGACCTATCTCTGTCCTTGGGGATGTGTACAGTATTCTTGTCCCTAACTCCCTTTCTGCTTCCTGGCTGTGGTGATGGGAGTACCTTTTCCTCCACCATGTCCCTATGCCCCTCTTCCATCCCAATTCTTCTTCTTCTTCTTCTTCTTCTTCTTTTTTTGTATATTTTTAGGGAAGGGTCTACAGGGTGTTCAGGGTCTCACTACTACATTGGACTAAGTAGTGATCTGCCTGTTTATAGCCTCCCAAGTGCTGGGATTGTAGGCGCATGCCAACATGCCCAGTCTCAGTTGCTGTCTCAGCGCGCCCCTGGGGCAGGGCTGACACACAGGCCCCTGGATCGAAATTTTTTTTGTCTCAGGGCCTCTCATTTAATCTTTGAAGTTGCTCTCTTCAGCCCCATAAATCGTCCATAATAGTTTTCTGTGGAAAAGGTGGTCTTAATAGTTAATATTTACATAGTTTTTGCTATATGCTGGGCACTGTTTTAATGCTTTATATATGTTAGTTTGTTAATTTTTTCTAAGCTTCTTTTTTTTTTTTTTTTGGCAGAACTGGGGATTGAACTCAGGCCCTTGTGCTTGCCAGGGAAGCTCTTATTCCACTGAGCCATCTCCCTGGCCCTTCCTAAGCTTCTTGTTTGCGTTTTTCCTTCACCCCAAGCCTACTGCCTTACAAATTGTGATCTATGTAAAAAGAGTCATTACAGTACAGAAATTGAGAGCCTACACATGAAACAGGGCTAAATGGATTAGAATCACTTGTGATTATGAGCAAGGGAGTTACTTTTCCTATGCTTCAGTTTTCTAACATTAGAAATATTTAAGTTATAACAGTGGCCTAACATATGAGAAACAAACAGTATTGTACTTTTAACCTAATTTAACAAAGGTTAATATTTTCTTTTTGGCTTGGCTGGAACGTTTACATTCTGTCTCTTGACATTTTTGCTTGTAGTGGGGGCTTCAAAACCACATAACTATAATATTATTATAGAACATTAATTTAGTAACTCCTTAGTGAGGGTTCACCATATCATCTTCAGAAATGTCCTTTATTGCTGGCTTATTCAAACCAGCATCTGCTTACAGACCTTAATTACATTTGGTTGTTATATCTGCCGGGAGGTGACTGATGTTGAGGTTGGTACTTTTGGATTTTAGTGATGAAGTAGGACATAGATTACCTGTAGACACTGAAGGTTTGGGAGAGGAATTTGGAAACTTGAAAGGCTAGATGAGCTGTGTGTGGAGGCACATGCCTGTAATCCCAGTACTTGAGAGGCTGAGGCAAGAGGATTGCCATGAATTTAAGGCCAGCCTGGACTACGTAGTGAGTTCAAGGCCAGCCTGAACTATATACAGTGAGACTTTGACTTGAAAAACTTAAGAAAAAAGCCAGACAAGACTTGGAATAAGTATAGTCCAACATCTACTAAGTCCACTTGTTTGAAAATTTGATTTAGTTCTAATATTTCATTGTTGATTTTTTTTTTTTTTTTGTCTAGTTGGTCTATTTATTGACTGGTGCTTTGATTTTTTTCATGTCTGTTAATATTTGCTTTGTATAGTTGGGTAAGCTGATATTTGGTAAATTTATATTTATGATTGTTGTCTCTACCTCTTAAATTGTTCCCTTTACAGGGATGTGGTAACCTTCTTTGTCTTGCTCAGTCAGTCTTGTACTTTGTTTGCAAATAGAATACTCCTGCTTTTTCTGGGTTCCTGTTACACAGGGAATTGTTTTCCTTCCTTTAATTTTCAGTCTGTGAATTTCTTTTTGAATTACATGTGTTTCCTATATGGAGTATATTGTTGGACTTGCTTCTTGATCCATTTTGCCAGTTTCTTTCTTTTGATTGGTGAATTGAGACCCTTAATATGGTTAATAACTAATATGTTTCAACTTATCCTTGTCATGTGATTTTTCTGTCATTGGTTCCTTTTTTTTCCCTTCTGTTTAATGCTTGCCTTACCTGATGGATTCATTCTGTTGGGGTTTGTGCAGTTGTGATCTTGTTATCTCTTTCTAGAATATCCTTCAGATCATTTTGGAGTACTGGTTTGGTGATCCTGAATTTCCTCAGGTGTTTTCTGTCCTAGAAGTATCTTATTTCTCCATCAATTTTGAAGATAGTTTTGTGGTTACGTCATTCTGGTTTGGAGTTTTTTTTTTTTTTTTTAAATTTTTTTTTTTTTTTAGGACTTGAAGTACTTGACTTGAAGGTTTATGTTAAAGTCTGATGTGATTCTTATGGGCTTTCCTTTATAGGTGATTTGTTTCTTTTTTCTAACAGCTTTTAATATTCTGCAGTTGTGTTGTATTTGTGGATTTTTGACTATTATATGCCTTGGTATTTTTTTAAAAATATGCCTTGAGTTTTTAAAATCATAGTTGGAGCTCTATATGCCTCACTTATCGGTATGCTAAGTTCTTTTTCCCCTGCTTGGGAAATTTTCTGCCATAACTTCTGTAACAGGTCTTTTAAAACATAATTTGCCTTATCCTCTGCTTTGTCATTGACTTCAATTAATGTATATTATTATTCTTTGCAATGTCATGGTCTCTTGCTATTTTCAAGAAATCTTTCTTTTCATGATTGCTAAATGTTATCCTATCTTCTAGATCTAAAATGCTGTCCTCATATTGGCTTTTTCAGTGGAATTTTTAATCTCCTGGATATGTTTGAGTCCATTTCCTGGATTCCATTTCTTTTCTATGTTGAGCAATCACGGTTTCTATCATTTTCCTAAGCTCCTCTAATTTTTTTTTTTTTTTTTTTCATTTGTGTCTGCTTTATATTCAGTAAGCATGTCTTTCATTATGGTCATCATCTCTGTAGTTATCTGAGAAATTTCTGGTTTGATTTTCATCTAAAGTCTCCTTTATCTGCTTTGTTACTTCTGCTGCTGATACTTCACAAAGTCCAAGTGGATAGCTTGTCTCACCTCATTGCCCTTGGGTTTGACTTTGGTGAGCCGGATGTCTGAGGGTCCATCTTGTTTAAGTGTCTTCTCATTTTTTTCTTCTTTTCAGTTTAGTTCCTGAGTTAATGCTTGTAAATTGCCTATGACTAGTAGCTTCATTTTTATACCACTGCTTTTCAGTGGTGCATTCCAGGTGTAGCTGGTGTTTGAATTTTGTGTCTGTTCTAAGATCTTATCTCTTCAGTTTGTTGAGGATGAGAAGCTGTTGCCCTCTTGGCCCAGCCCTTGGTTTTTTTTTTTTTTTTTGAGTCTGCTAGGAAATATATTTACCACTAAATCACCTCAGTGTGCTACCATTGCAAAAAAGATACAGGTTTTCCATCATAATGAAATTTCCCCCAAACATCCCAATTATAAGTATTTTAATAAGAAATGCATAAAGATCCCATTTTACAGATTTTCAGGATTCAGCTCAGAGATCTCACCATCTTCAAATACCACTCCCTGCTACTCTTCAGCTATGCAGCCCTTGGTTTTTTGACACTGACCTATAGTACTTTTTATGACCCTTAGGTAATCTCAGTCTTGATATACTATGAAGAACAACTAATAAAAACAATATGTCATCTTGGCTAAAGTGGTATCATCAGCAATCACAATAGCATGAAACAGCCTAGAAAATTACAGACTGAAGTAACTATTAATTTTTCAATTTTAACCATATGAACTAGATTTGTGGTTATATAACAAAATCTAAAATGAACCAGATAATTGTATGGTGTAAATAAACCCTCAATATAGTGATTTTACCTTCAGGGGAGAAAATTTGAAAAGGGTTAGGAGGAAAATAGAGAAATAGAAGAAGAGGAAGAGATTGGAAGCAAGGCTAGAGGACAAAAGATCACAGAATCTTTGGGAAACTGGTGAAGAAACTTTTGGAAACACCATGGCAAGAGAGAAGAAAGAAAAACAGGAACAGAACAGAACACAAAAACCCCACTAGAAACTCATATAAAAACAAGACCAAGCGAAAACAAGACAAGAGAAAAGAAAAAAAAAAAAAAAAAAAAAAAAAAAAAAAAAAAAAAAAAAAAAATGTCTGCTTTAAGGTATATCTCTGCTGTCACTAGCAGACAACGGAGGAAAACAGAGTCCAGATCCAGGTTGATTAATACCAGAAAACCTTACAATAGGGTTGTGGATAATTCCAGCAAGGCGGCACCTTTAGTTCCACTGAAGTATAGGCTGGTGTCTGGCTATGAGGCTGCAACCAGCTGTGTTCAGCCTATAGCAGTTCATGTGTCTCCTGCCAGCTTGAACTTGGTTGACTTCCTGCCAGTTTGAACTCAGCTTTTTGACCTCCTGTGACTTGAACTCAGCAGCCTGACCTTGTCACTGGGAGCCACTAGAATAGAGCCAGCCCATAGGTATTTTGAATTCTAAGCTCAATTGGCTCCTCTCAAAGAAGGCTACTGGCCAATCCTCTTCTCCTGAGGTATGTCTGAACCCAAATAACCCAGCAGCAACTCCAGTCCCTGCCTCCACTGCTCAGTTCCACTGGATTGTCTCCATGGAGGCCTCTGGGGTCACTGGTAGTCACTCTGGGCCTGCAGATTCCAGCTGCCCCTCCACACATTGAGTCTGGGCTCAGGGAGAAAGCACCACCTGCCATCTCCTTCATTGAAGTCTCTTTTCACTCTTCCTGTGAGCTTCCATTCCCCCTCCAGATCCTTCCTAGGTCCTGGGGACCCACATCCCTCCTCCCTCTCTTTCTTATGTTGCTGTATTCCAGTGTCTGGACACCAAATCTTAAAGAGGCTCTTTCTCTGCTTGTCGCCACTCTACTACCTCCCCAGAAGTCCTCTGTTTTTTTTAAAAGTATAATCCAAAAATACCTGAATATAGAATAAGCACCAGCCAGCCATATGTGAAAATATAGAATGGATTTGAGGTAGAAGGAAATGTGTGTGTGTGTGTGTGTGTGTGTGTGTGTGTGTGTGTGGTAGTAAAGAATGAAAAGTAAATTTTAGTTATTAATAGGACTCTTGGGTGGCATAGTTGGGGTAGGTACCCAGGGGGCCATGCTTTATAGAGAGCCCCTTCCCATATATATTAAATCAGTTTTGTCTCAGGAAATAAAATTTATTTCCCTGTTTTAAAAAGCTTAATAAGTTCATTATGGATTGAAAATTTCAATTAAGTGAGAAGGCCAGGGATGTGAAGTAAATAAACAAAAAGGAGAAAGGACTAGTCAAGGGTTGTGAACCTGTGGCATAGATGCTGCAGCCAGCTATCACTCTTAAAGGTTTGCTATCCCTGGGGTAGGTGGTACAACATTCACTTGTTTGTATAGGTAAGGGAGGAAAAAATTCAACTCTTACAAGTTCATAGTGGTAATGGATCCCTGTAACAAGTTATATTGACATGAAAAAGACCAGAAGTCTATTAACTTTCATACATACATGGAAGAAGTCAGGGAATGTATATCTTTTATTTATTTTTTTTAGACTTTTTTTTTTTTTTTTTTTTTTTGCGGTACTGGGGATTGAACTCAGGACCTTGTGCTTGCCAGGCAGGCGCTTAAGCCACTGAGCTATATCCTCAGCCCTATGTATAGCTTTTAGAGAGGTGGTTTTGTCTTATTCTGATAATGTCTTCAACAAAGAACAATCTATTTTTAGATTACTGACAAGACAAAGGAAAAGGATGTTGAGTATGTAGAGGTGGGAACTTGTAGGAAGGAAGTAAATGGTAGATAAAGCTAGTTAAGAAAGTTTGTTGAGGTAGCTCTCTGGTGCACAAAGGTGTTAAAGTCTGTCTGTCTGTCTATCTCCTTCCTACCTACTTACCTACCTTTTTTTTTGAAACAAGCTCACCATGTAGTTCAGGCTGGCCTTGGACTCACTGTGTAGTCTGGGCTGGCCTTGGACTTGCAGCAATCCTGCCTCAGCCTCTCAAGTGCTAGGATTACAGGTGTGCCCCACCACACCTGCTGTTCTTTATCATAGAAAATAGAGCAGAATATCTTTTGTATTTGTAAATTTGTGTCCTACTTTAGGCAAATAAAAGGAAGGCAGAGAGCTCTCTTGCACCTGCTTTTTCTTAATTGCCTTCAGTTCAACAATCCCTATGCCTAAAAGGCATATTTTGGGGGATGTATATTTTGGTCTCCTACATATTAGCATTCACAGGTAAATATATTTAAGTGGGTACAATTTTTCTGTCAGTTGAGACTTTCATGTTAGTTTTTTTAAAAAAGTAGGGGGCTGGTGAGACAGCTCAGCAGACTAAAGTGCCTACTTAGGCAAGCTTAGGTAAATGCAGGGACATGCACATGCTGCGCCAGCCCTGTCCCCAGTGCAGGCTGAGTAGGCCACAAAAAAAAAAAAAAAAAAAAAAGAAAGAAAAGAAAAGAAAAGAAAGTTAATTGCCATTAAGAGAAGATCCAGGGATCTGGGGGGAGATAGCTTAGTGGCTTCAACGCCTGCCTGGCAAGCACAAGGCCCTGAGTTTGATCCATGATACCAAAAAAAAAGAAAAGTATTCAGGTTAGACATTTCAAGGTAGGAGATCTACAAAAGGAAAGAATATAGGTCTTTAAAACATGAGAAAAGGAAAAGATTAATGGTTGGAGTAGACTATAAAAATGCAGTTTCTGATTCCACGGGGCAGCAAACTGAGAGGATTGACTAGATGCTTTTTTGTTTGTTTTTGTGATATTGGAGATTAAATCCAGGACCATCAAACTGAACTATATCTCTAGCTCTGACCTCAAATTCACACTGATCCTCCTGCCTCTGCCTCCTAGAGCTCTGGGACAACAGGCATACAATCACCATACCCAGAAAGGTATGATTGACATATCCTATTTGACATTGTTGCTCACATCATTTCCTAGGTTAGCATCTCAACTTCTTAAAAAGTGAAGGAACAAACTTTCAGATTTTCTAGAGGTCTTCTGGGAAATATCAAAGTCAACAAGATTAATATTTTATTGAGGATTTAATTTTGGAAAGACAAATGTCAAAATGTTTCAACACTTGATTAAATAGGATTCCCAGGTCACTTTTTTTTTTTTTTTTTTGGGAACCAGGGATTGAACTCAGACCATTGTGCTTGCCAGGGAAGCACTTATTCCACTGAGCCATCTCCCCAGCCCCCCCAGGTCACTTTTTAAAGAAGTGATAGTTCTCTAAAATAGTCAAAGATAGGATAAAGCACCAGAAATGTTCCCAAGAGAAAAAAACTTTTCACAACATCTTTAAAAAAAAGCAGATTGGTAGTCCTAGAAACTGTGCTTTGAAAGGACCAAATTCTAGCTTTCCATCAGTTTTCCTTGTTCTATGGATAACAAGGTTTAATCTTTGCTTGATATAAGAGTCTCTCTTTTTCTTTAGTATACCCTTTATACCTTTCAGGTTTTTCTTTCTTTTTTTTTAAACACATCTAGTTAGTTAGCTAGTTAGTTGGTTTTTGAGACCTGCTCTTCCTATGTAGTTCAGGTAGGCCTTAAATTCACTATATAGCCAAAGGCTGGCCACAGACATGCAGTGATCCTCCTGTCTCAGCCTTCCAAGTACTGAGATTATAGGCATGTGCCAGCCAGCATTCCTGGCTTGGGGTACTATTTTCAGCTTAGTTTTCCTCTAATCCTATAACTGCTGTAAAAATTCAGTCTAAAAAAAAATGCATTTTAGGGGAAATGCAAATCAAAACCACATTGAAATTTCATCACTTAGAATGGCTGTCATCAAGAATATAAAATATAGGGGCTGGTCAGATAGCTCAGTAGAGCTGTCCTGAATTCAATCTCCAGTACTGCAAAAAATAAAATAATAAATTTAAAAAAAT